CCCAATAGTTTTTTTTTTAAAAAAAAAAAAAAAAAAAAAAAAAAAAAAAAAAAAACCGTTATTTTGATATCATGCACAAGTACCCTTTTTTCCCTTACAAAAAACATTTTTTTTTTTTTATTCCTTTACTCGTTTGATACTCGTTTAAAGTTTTTTTTTTTTTCTACTCGTTTACAAGTTCTTATTTCAATTCTACGTTTAAAACCTGACAAAACCTATTTTAAAAAAAATTTCGTCAATGAATAAAATTTACGGTACGGTTTATATTCATTCGTGTATTTTTGTATTTTAAATTTTTGTGTTTTTTGGGGGGTTTTTAATTTTTTAAAACAAGTTTAATATAAAAATATTTCAAATCATTTGTTTTATTTTTTTTTTGTTTAAAAAATAATAATAATAATAAATTTATAAAAAATTTATTTGATGGTAAGTAAAAAAAAATTATTATTTTTTTTTTTTTTATGTATGTACATCGTGAAAGTTTTTTTTTTTTTTTACTTATACAAACTTTCACTTTTTTATTTAATATAATTTTTTGTTATAATAATAATAATAATAATAATGATAATAATAATTTATCAACAATGACATTTGTAGAAATTTTTTTTTCTTTTTTCTTTTCATCTTAAAACATAAATGCATTCTTGTGTAATTTGTTTTTTGTAACGGTTTTAACGTTGTTGTTTTGCCAAAGTGTTCTTTTTTTTACTTTATTTAAAATTTTGTTTCATTTATCATCTTTAGATGATTATAAATTTCAAGATTTAAATTTAAAGTTACAAAGTCAAAAAAAAAAAAAATTTTCAAAATTGACGTGTCACGGTGCAAAAAACATTTTTTTTAACAACACAACAACAACGAAAAAAATTTGAATTTAAATAATTTTTTTTTCCCTGTTAGAAAAATTTTATTTTTCATTCCCCCCGTCCCCCTCCCCCCTCAACTATGGATATGATATTTTTTCGTTTAAAAAAATAATTTGCCATAGAATTGAAAAAAGGAGCACATATTTCATCGTTCACGCAAAGCAATAAACTTTTTTTTTTTTTTTTTTTTTTTTTTTTAATATAAATAATTGACTTGTAAAATTAAAAAAAAAAAAACCGTTAAAAAATAAAATTTCTCGGTTAAATCGGTCAACCAAATGTTTTAATATGAATTTTATATATATCGGTTTATTTAATTACACTGTAAAAAAAAAAAAAAAAAAAAAACATGGCTTATTGTTTTATATAAAACATTTTATCGACCGTTTAATATTTCCTTTATTTCCCCCCCCCCCTCCTCTCCCCTCATTATTATTACCTGTAATAATAATAATGATACGATTGTAAAAAACAATTAAATTTTAATATTTAATTTATTATTATTATTATTATTATTATTATTAATTACGTGGAAATATATTCAAGGTTCACACATCTGACTTGTTCGTTGACCCTAAGGTACATAAAAATGTTTTTCCCAATAATGTCGTTTTTATTTATTTATATATGTATATCAATCAATTTATTTAAAAAAAAAAAAAAAAAGAAAATTATTTGGTTGGTTTTTCCAACTCAACCTTGTAAATTACATACGAAAGTTTTTCTTTGTTTAAACAAAAAAAAATTTATTTATTAAAAATTCTTTGAAAAAATAAAAAATATTTACGTCATTCATAAAGTTTTTTACGTCAATGAAAAACCGGGTATGTAATTATTAAAAAATTATTATTTACGGGTATTAAATATTTATTATTATTATTATTATTATTATTATTATTATTATTATTATTATTATTATTAAATAAATTAAACAAATTTTTATTCAAGCTTTGTAATTGTTTATATATACATTATTCTTATAATAGAATAAATCTAAGCTTTTTTATTAATTTTTATTTTTTATAAACAAATGAATGTAAATAATTAATTTGAATTTGACAAAGATAATCAAATAAATTTAAAATTTTTTTTATCAAATTTAAAATTATAAAAAGTTAAAATTTGATATTATCATTTTTAATATTAATAATAATAACCCCTTCTACATTAGTGAAATATATTTTTATGGTTTCTTTTAGTTAGATTTTAATAAGTTAGTTTTTAGAATTTTATATTGAGAATTATTTATGTTTAATAAGAAATAATAATAATAATAATAATTATTGTTTTTAATAAAACAATGGTTTACCTTGGTTGTTTAAAGGAATCAAATGAATTTTTGTAAATAATCCGGTTAATATGCAAAATCAAGCTTGTCATTTCCTCTTTCGTATTGTAATTATTAGTATAATTTATTGGTGGGACCATAGGTTACTTATTTTAAATATTTACAATTTTACCACCATTAAAGAAAAAAAAAGTGATTTTTACACGAAGTAATAATCGGTTTTTTTTCATAAAATATTAAATAATTAATGTAATTTTTTTTCAAAAAAAAAAAAAAAAAGTAATATCAAAATGGAGTTTTTTTTTAAACAAAACAAGAATAAAATATGAATAAATTAGAATACATGCGTTTTGTGAGTGATGTCAAATTGTCCATACCCAAAAACTCGTTCCAAATTAATTGATTTTAAGCCTTTTTTTTTTCCTTTTTTTCCTCATTTTAAATTTAACAGAATGTTTAAAAATTATTAACAAAACATTGTATAAACCGATTTTTATCTCTATGAAATTTGACAAAAAAAAAATTTATTGGTAGTGTAGGAAGAGATTTATTAAAATCTCTGTTGGCACCTCTGAATTTAAAATGTTTAACAAGCGAAGTTTTGTAGTTACTGGGTATCGAAAGTTGAACTTTGATACTCGTATTTTTTTTCATAACTTGGTTCTTTATCATGGTCAATACTTGGCCGAAGTTCGTTGTTCTTGATTTTTTAAAACAGGATTTTTTAAAAGATTGTTTTTTACATTAATTATTACTTTTAAAAGAAATCCTTTTATAATCCTATTCACCGCTAAGAATTGTAAAAATGATGAGGTACTTGCCTACTTTTAAAAAAAATTTGCCATTTATTAGCTACTGTTATTTATTTATTTATATTGCAATTGGTTACTTTAATATTTTTAAATAGGAAGTGGTTATTATTATTATTATTATTATTATTATTATTATTATTTTTGTTTTTTTTAGAGCCATTTCGGTTTACTTATAATTCTAATTAGAAATTTACTTAATGTTTTCTGTTGTCACTTCGCTTTTAAATTTCAGTCGATTTGTCATTTGACAGGCTGAAGACGTGGAAAGCGGGCCTAATTCAAAAGGAGAAAATTTATGGCAAAATAGTGAAACCAACTACCGTCCGACGAGCAGTTGTCAAGTGAAAAAATTTATAATTATGTTTATATTGTGCGGAGGACTTGGTGCCATCACCAGTGCTATTTGGTATCTTATAGGATGGAAATCTGTAACGCAACTGCTTATAGTAGCTGCAGTAGCTTTTTTAATAACAGGACGTCGTTACAGATGGTTTTATGTAGCACTTTTTACTGTTAAAAGAGATTTTATGTAAGTCCTATTATTAACTTATTATTTTCCTTCATGATTATATTTTCACCCAGGTACAAATGTAAATACATGTTAACATGAGTACTAGTATTTTGCAAATTATGTTAAAGACAGTCATCGGATAACAGTATCAAAAACAATTAGAAAATCTTACTATTCTTCATGGTTAATTTTATTGATTTTCAAATTGTTTATTTACAGTTATTTAAAAAATTTCTATCAAACTTACAAGTTTTAAATAAAAAAAATTCTCATAAAATTATCTTTTTTCCCTTTTTTATCTTTTAATGTACAAGATTAATTTCAAATTTGTAAAGAATAAAATATTTTTGTGCGCAAACAAAACTTAAATAAAAAGTGTAATTTTTTTTTTTTTTTTTTTTTACATAAAGTAGAGAGGAATTTAATATTTTTGTAATAAATTACATTTAAAAAAAAAATTGCAGTGGACTTACAAGATTTCTTCGTTTAAATTTCAAAATTCGTTCATATTCGAAAAAAAATGTGTCAATTGTTGATATTTTTGTAAACAATGCAAAAAACCATCCTAAAAAACCAGCAATTATATTTGAAAAAAGTGAATGGACTTTTGAAGATGTAAGTTTTTTATTACTTTTTATTAAATAAATAAAAAATAATTATAAGTAAAATAATTATGTTATGTTCTAGGTGGATGAATACAGCAACAAGATTGCTAATATATTTAAAGAACAAGGATTTCGCAAGGGTGATACTGTGGCCTTATTTTTAGAAAATTGTCCTGAATTTGTTTGTATTTGGCTTGGTCTTGCCAAATTAGGTATTATAGTTCCTTTGATAAATACTAATTTAAGAGATCAATCTCTTCTTCATTCTATTAATGTGGCTGAGGCTCAAGCCATTATTTTCGGTGGTGATTTATTTAACGGTTTGTAAGATTTTATTTATTTTTAATTCCTATAATTTATTTGTATTTTGCAAAATTAATTTTTAATTTTTTTAAATTTTTTTCAGGCATCAAAGATATTTCTTCATCGCTAAATAGTTCAATTACATTGTTCAGACTGGGGGATGGGAAAGAAAAAAGCAAATCTATTAAAGAATTAAATACACTTTTAAGTGAGGCATCTTCTGAACCTCCTATAACTTCTGATAAATTGAATTACTCAGATAAGCTTTTATACATTTATACTTCAGGTACGACAGGGCTTCCTAAAGCCGCTGTTATAACAGGAGCCAGGTAAAGTAATACATTTATATAAATACTTAATAATAATTTCTCATTAATTTTTTTTTTTCAAATTTCATTATAAATATTTTTTTTTAGATTTATTTTTCTGGCAAGTGCAATGCATTATTTGGTTGATTTTAAAGTAAAAGATCGTTTTTATACTCCCTTACCATTATATCACACGGCAGGTGGATGTGTGGTTATTGGTCAAATGATTGTTTTTGGTAGTACGGTTGTCATAAGAAAAAAATTTTCTGCATCTTCTTATTTTTCGGATTGTAAAAATAACAATTGTACGGTAAGACGATATCACTTTCGAATTGTCTGCAATTATATATATTATAATTTTTTTTTTTTTTCGATAACTACAAATTTTAATGGTGAGAAATTAAAATTTTTCAATTTCTAAAAATACAATTATTCATTTAAATATTAATTAAATGATAATTTACTTTTAATTAGGTTGCTCAGTACATTGGAGAAATGTGTCGATATATTCTTACGTCACCTCCAAAACCGGAAGACAAAACGCATAAAATACGTATAATATTTGGTAATGGTTTGAGGCCACAAATATGGAAAGAATTTGTCGAACGGTTTAATATTCCAAAAGTTGCCGAATTTTATGGGGCGACAGAAGGAAATGCAAATATCGGTATAGTTTGATACTCATTTTAAACGAATTATTTTTTTTTTTATTAAAAAAAATTATTTATATATCGAGTTTTTCCGTTTTTTTTTTTTTTGTTCTATTGTTTAGTAAACATTGATAATACATTTGGTTCCATCGGATTCGTCTCAAGGATTATACCATCAGTATATCCAATATCAATTATAAAAGCTGATCCTTTTACTGGAGAACCCATAAGAAACAGTAAAGGGTTTTGTATCGAATGCAAACCGAGTAAATTTTTTTTTATTTTCTCATCTGATGAAAAACCTGCAAATTTATAAATTATACTAAAAGAAAAATAAAAATAATTTTTTTGATTATATATATATATTATTTTTCCAGATGAACCTGGAGTTTTTATTGGGAAAATAATAAGGAATGATCCGTCGAGAGAATTTTTGGGTTACGTCGATAAAAAAGCATCGGAAAAAAAAATAGTTAGAAATGTATTTAAAATGGGTGATGCGGCATTTTTATCAGGTTAAAATCAAATTGAAATTATTATATTATTTTATTTTTTGTTTAATTATAATTACGAGACGTACATAATTGGGGTTTTTTGTTTTTCAGGTGACATTTTGGTGGCTGATGAATTTGGATATTTGTTTTTTAAAGACAGAACCGGTGATACATTTAGATGGAAAGGTGAAAACGTGTCAACAACGGAAGTCGAAGCCGTTGTCAGTACTTTAATTAATTTCAGAGACTGCGTAGTTTACGGAGTAGAAGTAAATTAAATGAAAATTAATTATAATTTAAATTAATGTATAAGCGTGAATAATTAATTAATTATTTACTATTATTATTTTTAAGATCGAAGGACAAGAAGGAAAAGTGGGAATGGCTGCAATATTGGACGAAAATAAAAATATAAATTTAAACAATCTTGCAGATGGCGTAATTAAAAAATTACCCACATACGCGAGACCTTACATTGTTAGAATATTAGAAAAGGTTGATATGACGGGAACGTTTAAATTAAAAAAAATGGATTTACAAAAAGAAGGTTTCGATCCGAAGAAAATTAAAAATAAACTTTATTATTTAAACGATGGAAAATACCAGGAACTCACGTCAGAAGTTTACGATTCAATATTAAAAGGGACTGTCAGGTTTTAAATGTTGTTGTTTAGAGGAGAGAAAGAGAGAGAAAGAAAAACCTGATTTTTCAAATAATTTTATTTTTTATACAATGGAAAAAAATAAAAAGGAAATTTTATATTTTAAATTATTTAAAAAAAAAAAAAAAAAAAAAAAAATTAGAATTAGAGAAATTCAAAAATGAAGCTCTCTTTTTTTTATATTAATTAATTTAAAAATGTTATTATTATTATTATTATTATTTGTAAAAAATAAGTTAAGAGTTATTATTATAATAATTAAAATTAAGTAATTAGTTTTACGTAATTAATTAATTAATTATTTTTTAAATTTATGTTAATTTAAAATTTTATCATGTTTTGTTTTTTAATTATAATTTGTTTGTTGTATTTTTTTTTTTTTTATTAATTTTAATTTGTTTTATTTTAAATTATGATTTTTTTTTTTTCTCTCCATTAAATACTGATACTTTTTAAAATGATACGAAATGTTTTTTTTTCTAGGGAGGGTGAGGAGGGAGTAGGTGGGGGGGGGGGTTGGGAAATTTTAGGTTTTCAACAGAACAAAACAAAAAACAAATTTTTTTTAATAAATTGTTATTTTTATTTTATACAGCAATAAATAATTATACATTTTTTATTAAAGATTTTTTTTTTTTTTCACTCTCAAGAAACAAACAATAATAATAATAATAATAATAATAATAATGATAATAATGACTGACTGAATTGTTTTTGAATTGTATTATTTATTGTAATTGCTTACACTGAAAACAATATCGATTAAATGACGTAATAAATTACTGGAAAAAAAAAAAAACGCGTACATAATAATAATAATAATAATAATCAAAATGAAAAAATTTGATTATTCAAATTTACCCGATTGTAATCGCAATAAAAAAAAAAAAAAAGTTTTTTTTACCATCACCTGGGGGGTATACTTTTAGCCGTTTGTCCATTTCCTAAATCAGGTTTGGTCCCGAACCATGACATTTTCCATTCTAACGTTTCTTTAAGTAATTTTTCTTCTTCGGCGGAAAATCTAAGAAGAGTCGCGACAGCTCTCGTGAGATGTTGAGCCTGAAATTATCCATCAGGTTTTTTTTAAATTTTTAATCATTATTATTATTATTATTATTATTTTTTATATACATATATATTAAAAATAATAATGTGTGAACCTCGCATTCTCGACTCGTTAAAAATTTCATGAGAACGTGTTTTAAATATTTAAAATTAACATCGTCCCGACTCTCCTCGTAATTATTATCATCGTTTCGAAATCCTCCTACTCCTGATGATGACGTCACAGACAATTGCTGTAGTGATTCCTGTTTTAAAACGTATTTATCTGATGACTCGGATCCTCCGGGATCTATGGCTGTTGAAGGCACTTTTAATTCACGTTGAAGTGTTTTTTTTATATCCGACAATCTTTGTTGTAATATTTTTATGTTCTGAAATGAAAATATTCATTTTGTAACAAAAAAAAACAACTCTCTCTCTCTCTCTCTCGAAAAATACCTGGATAAAACCTGTCGTCGTACCTTATTTTTTTCAAAAATATCATTTTCAAGTTGACTAACTTTATTTTTGAGTTCTTTTTCCTCTGACGTATTCATTTCTCGATCTTTATGAATTTTTTCCAATTTTATAAAATTTGCATTCAATTCTTTTTTTTCATTTAAAACGGAATTTAACAACTGGAAGAAAAAACAATAATAATAATAATAATTCGTGAAGTGTTTTTTGTTTAAAAAAGGGAGGGGGGATTGCAAACTCACTTTTTCTTTATCGTTTAATTTTTCTTCCAATTCGTTTATTTTACTATTGAGTTCGTTTGATTCCAATTCTTGTTTTCTTAATTTCTGCTTGGTTAATTCAATTTTTTGAGATATTTGAGCATTTCTCATCATCATGTCATCTTTTTCTCCTTTTTCTTTTTCCAATTTTCTATTCATCTCTTCGTATAATTTTTTCCCCGATTCTAATTCATTATTTATTTCAATTAATTTCGATTCCAGTTTCGTATTCGTATTAATTTTTTCCATCACCTCCATTTCTAAATTTTTTATTTTTTCATCTTTCTCATCGATTTCTTTCATCTTTTCCGCAAGCGTTTGTTCCAAACTCGAAGAACTTTTAACTAACGCACTCTAAAAAAGAAAAAAAAAAAATTTCATTTTTACATAAATATTATCATTATTATTATTTTAATTTTAATAATAATATACTTAAACATATTAAATCGATTAGTATTATTAATATTTCATGCCATTAACCTTTTACATTTCCCCCCCCCACCTTTTTTTTTTTTAAATAAAAAAAAATCAAATAATAAATATATTAATAAAATTAAAATAATAATTATTTTTATTATTATTATAGTTAAAAAAAAAAAAAAAAAACAAAAAAATCCAATAAATAAATATTAAACATACAAATGATTTTAAATAAAATAATAATCATAATAATAATTAATAAATGAAAAGTTTTAAATAATAATATTCATTAAAATATTAAAAATTAAATTCCTTTCTTATAATAATATACCTTTTTTTTTTTACATAAAAAAACATGTACATAAAATTAACAAATATTTCATTATATATAAACAAAAAAACAAAAACAAAAAAAAAATATCATTGAAAAAAGAAAAATGAAAATTTATATAAAAATATGCGACGGGTTTTCCAGTTATGTGACGCCATTTTTTTTTTTTTTTACACTTTTATATTATTCCCTACTCTCTCTCTCTCTATCTCTCACTTACTATTTTAAATTCATAATTTTCAACATCATCTTCTTTTTTTATTTTTAATATTTTCATTTCATCTTCTAGAGCATCTTTTTCTATTTTCAATATTTTTAATTTATCCCTTGTCGATTCGCAATCGGATTTTACACTTTCGTAGTCCGACTCCAATCGATTTATTTTCAACAACAAATCATCTCTTTCTTTTTCCGCTCTTCTTTTTTCCGAACTTTCTTCGCTTGCTTGACGACACAATCTACCGACTTGTGTTTCGAGTGATTCAATTTTGCTACTCCACGATGATTTTATTTGCAAAAGATGAACGTGAGCTTCTTCCAAACGTCTTTCGAAAAGAGCTCTTTCTCCCAATAGTTTTTGTATTCTTTCATCGATGGTCATTTTACTCATGGGTTCCGAATTTGCACGCTCTTCTAAAAGTATAACTCTATCTTTTAAATGCCTGACATCTTCTTCTTTTTCCGCTAGTTTACTCGTTAGTTGAGATTTTTCTAAATCGTAACTATGACGTAACGATTCTAAATCATCCTATAAAAATAAAAATATCATGACGGATATTCAATTTTAATGACGTCATAAATCCCACCCCCCAAAAAAAAAAAGTGTTTTAATAACAAATATACACACCTTTTAATTAAATGACATAAACATTGTCAATTTAAAAAAAAAAAAAAGGCATGAAACCTAAAAACATTGAAAGCAAAAATGTGATAAAATGAATAACACAAAAAAATATGTGCCCAAAGTAATAATAAAAACCTGAAAACATAAATTAAAAAACTTCTAAAGTTTTTTTTTTTTTTTTTTAAACCAAAACTCTCGAATTCAAATCATAATTACATTGCATCCAAAAATTATTTGTATGAATATAAAATTTTAACAAAATTGATTATAAACAAATAAAACATAAATAATATTAAACAAAAAATATTTTCAATGAAATACTTTAAAAAGAAATAAAAAAACAAAACAAAACACTTTTATCGATTCACTTATGAATAATCTTAACTTGAAGTTTTAATATCCATAATCGAATACTCGATACAAATAAATTAAAATTTTATATTTTTATTAATATTCAATGTAAATAATATTTAAAAATAACTTTTTTGTTACAACATATTTCAACACAACTTTTCATATTTAAATAAGGTTTTTAATACACAGAAATATTATATATAAAAAAAAAATCTTGTATTCGATTTTTTTTTGTAACAGGTACCTAAATTTCTTGTTTCTCGTGTAGAACAAATTTAATGTCCCTGAAAAATAAACCCTTGATATACAAGGATTTCGGATGAAAAACTATTTTATTACAAAATAAAATTAAAATTAAAAACTAAATAATAATAATTATACTAATTATTCAATATTTTTTGTCATTGAATGAATAAAAATACATAAATTAATATAATACATATACAAACTAAGGTAAAAAAAAAAATACTTAAAACTTTTAAATTTAATTATTTAAAATAATTTACTTAAAAATATTTTGTTATTTTAAAAATGTTAACATATTTACTCTTCATTAATTTATTATTTTATTAAAAAGCATACTAAAATTTAATAAAGCGAAAAAAAAAAAAAAAAAATATATGCTAAATCAGCCCAAAGCATTCCAATGATTTATGATATCATGATGCAACAACATTTAGTGACAAAGTCAGTGATGAAAAAAAAAAAAAAAAAAAAAAAACAAATTTTTTTAATTTACCTGAATTTTTTCATATTTTTGCTCATAGTTGCTAAGTCTAGACACTTCCGATTTTAAGGCATTTAATTGTATTGTATTTTCTTTGATAATTTTTTCTTTTTGTGCCAATTCTTGTTCTTTAACTAAAAGTAAATGTTTTATTTTTGCCATTTCTTGAGTTTGAAATCCCTGTAATTGATCAATATCTTCTTGGTATTGATATATTTTTTTTTGATAATCTAAAAAAACAGTTGCCAAATTATTTATTATTATTCAAAAAATTAAAGCCATAAGATATTGTTGACCATTTATAATTTTTGCTTAAAGTTTAATAAACTCATTATAAAAATATATTAATTTTAAGCAAATAAGAAAGACATGAGTAAAATCAAACTTAATAAGTAGTAAATTATATTTTATTAATAAGTGGTGTTATCTAAATTTTGTCGGTTATTTTACAGAACCAAAAGCTTAAATTTTAAATGAATTTGAACAATTGTTTAGTTATTATTTAAGTTGTAATTTTTTTCACCTTAGTAGTGATTCATATTAATTAGTTACCTTGATTTTAAAATGTCAAAAATCAGTTATCATAAAAAACTAATTAATGAAAAATATATCTAAGTTCAGACCTGTAGCTTTTAACGAATTCTCTTCTAATTCAATGTTTTTTAATTTTAAATTATCTCTCTCGACTTCTAAAAGTTTTATTTCACTTTCTTTTTTATCTAATGCTTCCCTTAATTCTTTTTCTTTTTCATCTAATTGTTTTTTCCAATTTTCTTCTGCTTTTTTTAATTTTAACACTAACTTTTCTTCTTTTTTCTCCAATTTTTTTCTCCATTCTTCTTCTTTACTTTCAAGCTTTTTAAATTCTTTAGGAGTAATTACCTAAAATTATTGTAATTATATATTTTACAGTTAAAATTATTCATAACTTTTTAATTGTTTATAATAACCTTTCCATCTGCTAGTTTCATGTCTAAATTTGATTTTCCTTCTTCTTCTTCTTCTTTACTACTGTCAATTGTAAAGCTGCCTAAACTAGTAGAAGATTCACTTTGTTTATCTTTACTAAGTTTAGTATGGCTAGAATTTACTATTGAGGGGATTAAATCAACATCATTACCAGTTTCTTCTTTAATTCTATTTTTTAAATGCCAAAACATATTGCTAAAAAATGCAAAAATATTTTAATTTTTTAATATTAAAAATTTCAAATTTATTTTTTTTAAATAAATAAATAGGCTTGCTATGAAAATTCGCATCAACTTTTATGAATTACAGTAATGTAAGGTTTATAAAAAGTAATTTTATTCAAAAATATAAATAAAAAATAAATGCGATTCAAAATATTAAAAACTGTTGTAATTACTATTCAAAGGAAAGAAATACAAGACAATCGTACTTCGTTATTTTAAACGAGACAAATGATAAATTAATAATGTTTGTAGTAGAAGGAAAAACATTTTACTTACAATAGTGACTTCTTATGAAAACACTATAATGTTACACAGTATAAAATATAAAAGCAACATACGTAAACAATATATATCACCCCATCAGTGGTGACAACCCAATTTTGTGTACGTTCAGAAAGCTTGAAAGTTGTTTATTAACTGACAACTCGTTTTTAATATAATTTTTATAAGTTATTTTAGAGTTTCGCCTATTCGTTTTGAAACTTAAAAGCTATTTTAAAGATTTTTACTTTGTGAAAAAAAGGTTTAATTTTGTTCAAAAGAAAAAAATTACAATTTTATTACTTTTTAATTGTTAAAAATTATATAGCTTTTCAACCGCCAAGTTAGTTGGTACTTGTGAAACTCAACCGTCGCGTTATGCCTATTTAGTAAAATGTTAAATAATTAAACTTTACGGCGTGAAATTTATTATTTTGCTTTTAATATATTGTAAAATATCAAAATGGAAGTTCCAAACAGTTGTTCCAATGCATTTGACGTGAACGACAGGTAAGGCAAACTGATTTTATAAATAATTTGATGCTTGTTATACAATATTTGAATTGTCATGTTTTGGAGTATTGTATGCTTCTCTGTATATGAATGATTTATCAAAAAATTTCAAATTTAAAAACGGTATTAAATTGATGAAATTGAAAAATAAATACATTTTATAAAAAGTTTTTTATTAATTTGTCAAATTTAATCAATTCAATATTTATTTTTTAACCATTAAAAATGTTTTAATTAGCTAAGATAAGCATTAATAATTTGTGTTAATAAAAGTAATAAGTCATTGTCATATCATTTATGACAGATACTCATTTAAAATACTATAAATAGTTTTTAAATAACAATGCACAGATATTTAAACAAATATATTATTCATCGAAAGTAATTTCTAGGAATTAACTGATATTATTTTTTAAATAATATTATCATCTTAGCATTTAAAAAATTATTTTACTTAATTTTGGTAAAAATGTCGATTTACAATTAAATTTAAAAAAAATAATTTAAACGAATAATAATAAAAATTAAGCGAAAAAAATTTTTTAATGAATTTAAAATATGAACTGAATTGTGCTTATTACAGAACACATATTATTAATAAAATCAAAATTATCATGTATTTAAAAGTATTTCTTAATTTAAAAAAAAGGAAATAGTAATTATTATATTTTGTTGAATTCGATTTTGTAAATTAAAGTTTATTCGATTTTAATTCATAATTTTATATGTCATAAAAGTTGATTTTATTTATTATCAACAAAAAGTAATAAATCTTTTTAATTATATTTGTTATTATCATTTTTAGCAATTTGTTAAAATATAACTATTGCATATTACAATATGTACGATATAACTTATAAATTTTCTAAAGCACTTAAATTTTTCTTTAGTATTCTTCTTTGAACAACCAAAATATGTATTATGTCTTTTTTTTTTTGCTGAAATCAATAATTCGAAATAAATTTTTTAGGTTTGTTTAATTGTAATTTAAAATTTAAAATCAAATTTGAGGGTTCTTGAAAAAAAAAAATTTATGAGTCATTTAATTCAGGAGTCAGTCATACATGTAAAAACCCATTAGTTAAGCACAATTTTTTTTTTTTTTAAATAAGGTTTTTATTTTTTTTTATAATAAAAATTCAGTAAAAAATTAATTTAAAAAAAAAATAAATAAACTTTGCGCCAAATGTTATTGTTTACATAAACTGTTTTAAAAATGGTCCTGCTGCTGCAATTGATAAGATATAGAGGGAATTGAGAAATAAAATTTAATAGGGGTCAAAGGATATATAAAAAATGCAGAGCGCAGTCTCCGAAGAAATGTGAATGCGTGTTGAATATCACAAACTAAATATAATAATAGTAACCCCACAAACTCAAGGATGGTCGCTTAGTTACGCAGCATCTTGCCAAAAAAAAATTTAAAAAAAAGTGAAAAAATTTTTATTTTTTGTGTTGTTTTTATTATTATTATCGTTGTTATAAAAGTGTTTTGTCGTTTCGAGTTTCTTATTTATTACTCGTTTATAATTTTTAAATTTTTGTTAACTTGCGAGTTAGTGTAAAAAAAAAAAAAAAAAAAAAAAAAAAAAAATGTCACCCTTTTTGTTATTGCTGACGTCATATTTTAAAGGTCAGGTCGACCCTGCTGCTACCACTACGTATATTATATATAAAAAAAAATTTTATTAAAAGTTTAGTAAAGTTTTGTATAAAGTAACACTTATTATTATTATTAACAAACAGTATTTGAATATTAGAAATGTCTGTTTTTCGATTTGAAGCAGCATCCACATCATCCAAACCTATATCGAAAAGGATTAAAGGAAAATCAAAGGATGCCTTAAAATCAAGTTTTGCTTTTAGGTAAAATCATTTTTTTTTTTTTTTGTTTTTCCATCATTAAAAACGACGTCAATGTTAAGTTTTTATTGTAAAATAATATTTATTGCTTTTTTTTTTTTATTTGAACTTTGTAACTATTTTGTTTGTTTTTGTGTGTTTGTTGCTGTTGTATTCAATCAAGTCGACCATGACGAAAAAAACAAATTATTTTATTTATATATATAAAATTAGGCTTAATAATGACTAAATCTCATTATAATCGTAAAAATACATAAAATAATTGTTTAAAGAAAAAGTTAAATTGAACTATTATTGATAAAGAAATTATTCACATTCGATTTTTGTTTGTTATTATTGTAAAAGTTCAAGATTAATTTTCTATCTGTGATTCATTTATTTATAACAAAAGTGTTTTTATACGGTTTGTCTGGCAAATTAAATAAAAAAAAAAATTTTTTTTTTTCGATTGTCAAAATAAAATAACAAAACCATTTTGTAAATACGTTTTGTCTACAGAGTAAAGATTCTCTTTATTTTTTGTTTCAATGACACCCAATTTTTTTTTTTTTTGTCTTATAAAAAAAATTGTTTGCCGTTGTGTGTATAAATTTTTGCGACAGAATTATACAACAAAAGATTGGAAATTCCAATACAAAATTAAAAATAAACGTAAAAAAAAAATATTTTCCAACGTCCATTTGCAATTGGCAAAGTTTTCATCATCAATAATTTATTTACTTATTTATTTATTTATTTATTTTTTTAATTACAAAAAAATAATGAAATCGTAAAATAACTTATATAAATAAATAACATTATTATTATTATTATTATTGTGTGGAATTTTGAATTAGTTGAATGAAAAAAAAAAAAACTTTTTTTACGTTTTTTTTTTTTTTTTTTTTTTTTTTTTCATTTTAATATTTTGGCAAAAATAATTTTCGAAAAAATTTTGTTTACTACAATAAAATTTTAACCAATTAACTTTTGCGTAAAAAAAAGAAGATGAAGAAGAAAAATAATAATAATAATAATAATAATAATTTATAATTTCGCAAGGGAATCAAAAAAAAAAAAAAAAAAATTTTGGCTCTGAAAATTATTCTATATTTAATTTTAGAATCGAATTCGCCGAGGACAAATGTTTTTAGAATTTTTGTATAGTAAACAAAAATTGAAATTTATCTTACTGGAAATAAAATTTTTTAACTCTCAATTAAATCTTATTAAATTTATTATTATTATTATTATTATTTATTTGTACCTTAAAGGTTTTTATTTTTATTACTTGATTGGAAAAATAATAATAATAATAATAATAATGTTGTCATTAATTTATTTTTTCTTTTTTTTCTTTCAGTACAAATCCAAGTATTCTTCAGGATATCACACTTGACAAAAGTAAGTTTTTTAATTTTTTTTTTTATGATATAAATTTTACGGCTTGAAAAAACTCGTAAAAAAAAAAAAAAAAGTACTCAGGATGTATGTAGGTTATTTTGTGTGTTTTTGTTTTTGTGTGTGTGTGTGCGTGTGCGTGTGCACGGGTTCAGAGAGAAAAAGTGAGTTTTTATATTATTTTAACAGTAAACAGTGACCACTGACGAACTTATTAAACAATTTTTTTTTCACTTTTGTGGTTTTTGACCTAACTTATAAATCGTATTCGTACAACAACAACAACAACATTCTTTAACAAAAAAAAAAAATTCGTGTTTGAAATATAATGAGGGGAGGGGAGATTGTAACATAAAGTTCATTAACGATTTATTTTGTTTATTAAACAAACGCGAAAATATTTCCAATTCGAAGTGAGCATTACATGAGATGATTGAAAACAGGTCATCATTATCATCATCATCATCACCACTACCACGTAGAGGTTAAAAAAATTATGGGTGATGTAAATGCAATAAATGTCATTTTAACGAAATTATTATTTTTTTTTTGAATCTCTTAAACGCCATTCAAAAAAAATACGAGTTGATACATATGCTATTGGAGGAGTATAAAAAACATACGGTATATCACCCTTCTTTAAAAAATAGACAATTTTTAATTTTGTTCTCTTTAGGCAGGAAAAGAAAAAAACTCAATGAGAGATCCTTTACTAAACTTCCGCTTTTTTTATTATTGCTTCCTGTAACGTTATATTCTTAAACGTCTCTGGCAATTACCCAATACTATGTATAAATAAATAATTTCGTCTGGTAAAAAAAAAAAAAAAAAAAAAAAATCCAAATAATTATTTATTTAAATAATATTGTTAAATTGATTAAACAAAACTATTATCATTATTATTATGATTATTATTATTATTTGTTCGATCGAAAAACGATAAATTTCTCCGTAGTCCGTAATTTTTGATTAACTGGAGCGTAAAAGAAAAGGGAAAAACGTTCAGTTCTTTTTTTTTTTTTTTTTTTTTTTTTTTTTATGAATTTAAAAATTTTGTTAAAGAACGAAATGATTTTTTTCTTTGCCCCCCCCCCTCCCCCCTTCTAGAATATTTCGCTTCACACAGTTATTAATTTAAGCTAAAAAAAAAAAAAAAAAGCTCTAGCGTACAAAAAGCTCAATAAAAAAGTTTCACGTTTTTTTTTTTTTGATTTAAACCTAATTTATTATTATTTTAATATATAAATTTTATAATAATAATAATAATAATAAAATTTATTTCAGTTTATTTGGTAGATTGTAAATTATAAAAAAGTTTCCCGTTATAAAATTTTACAGTGTATAAAATAATAATAATAATAATAATAACAATAATAAAAGGAATTCCTTTTTTCTTACCAATTGCAGAAGAAAACAAAAGAATCAAAAACTTTTTTTTTTTTTTTTTTTTTTTTTTTTTCAAAAAAAATTTTTTTTTTTTTGCCCATTTTTTTTTTTTTTTTTTTTTTTTTTTTTTTGAAA